TACATGGGCTTCAAAAACCGAGAGGCTAATTGGACCTTTTCATAAATTCTTGAGAACGGCCCACTTTATTCTACAACACAGACGAAATAGAAAGAGCCACGATTGTTTTTCACAAATCAATAATTTCATTTTCGACAAGTCGGAGCTCCCATGAGAGTCCGATAAATGATCTATGAAATCTATGATATGTCGCTATCATAAGACTTCACGTAGCCTTTTAACTAGACACGTGTTATAACCGAGCGATGGAAAACTTTTTTTTACAGCCGTTATGTATGAAGAGTGCCAGCTCACCGTCGTTATCTTCAATTTACATCTTTTTTTTGTTTTTTTTTCCTTTGTATGATCTACAAAAGGTAAATGAAAGTACAGATATTAGTGTTAATAATTATTACCATATCACAGATATATTTTCTTTTTTTGGTCAGCATTATCATATTGCAAAATGGTATGGAAAAAGGCACAATAAAAAGGAAAAGAAAATATTTAAATTTGCACAATTAAGAAAGTTTGATTTGATATCACCACATAATTAAGAAGATTTTATGGCTTACAATGCACCTAATTCAAATAACAAGGTACACTACGTCTTTTTCTTTTGATTAGATATAATAAAAATGTACATTTTACATTTCGTAAAATAAATTGTCAATATACTTAAATAAAATTATCAATCCAAGAAATTTTAAATTACGATTTGCTATTAGTTTAAAACGAATTAAAAACAGATTAAGCGTGACTTAACAAGAAAATAAAATAAAATTTTAACTTAATAAAAAAAGTTTTCTCAGTTTTTAAGAAGCTTGTTCCGTACACTGCATGACTGTTTCTCCCATTTTCTTCCCATTTTCTTTTTTTTGTTAATTTATTCAATTTCTTCTCTCCCTCGCTTCAGTATCTACGAAGCTTTTGCTCTCTGCACTTAAAAACCCCAACTTTTGTTGACTAAAAAATCCCAGAAATCTGGGTAGTGAATAAGGAATCAAAGCCAAAATGTTTTACTCACAATGTCTCGTGTCGAGAAATGGACCTTTAGGAGCGATTTGGGTCGCTGCGTATTTCTTCAAAAAGCTAAAGAAAGCTCAAGTCAAAGATACTCATATTCCTTCTTCCGTTGGTTCGTCTTCTTAATCTTCTTCACATTGTTCTACTGATGGATTTTGCTCAAGGTTTAAGACTTGGAAAAATGATTTAATGGGTGAAAGTTTGCAACTTTTAATTGGGATTTTGTTTTTGTTTTTACCTGAAATGGAAAATTTAGGGTTTCGCTTTCCGGGATTTGAATCCTTGATTCCTTCTCTCATTCGTTGGAGTATTATTAACTTTGTTTCTTATTTCCTCTCATTTTTGTTTGCATCCATTGGTAGATCAAATCGAGATCACTGTTGAGTTGGGATTTTTCTATGTTGGTTGTTTTTTTTTGTTGCTCATGAGTTGTATTACAAAATGCGTGAATGAATGTCAGAGATTTTGTTTTTTTTTCTCTCTTGTTCTTGCATCCATTGAGACTTGGCAGAGTAAATTGAGATTCACCCTTGATTTTTTTGGGTTTTTTTCTTCTGTGTTGGTTGTTTTTGATTATCAGTTGTTCGAGAAAATGCCTGAACGAACTTCAGAGATTTTGTTCACAGTCTCTTTTAAGACTGAAAAGTTTCGTTTTTTCTATTGTAAATTGATGGAGCGTTGTTTATCGAGAGTAATAAGTCCGCTGTTTGTGGAAAAGTGTTAAAAACAGAATCTGTAAAGGCTCTTTTTCTTCTTCAATCCACTAAACGAGAAACTTGATTACTGTCACACTCCCAAACATTTAGTTTGCTTGATTCCTAAAGTCCTTGTATTCTCTAAAAAGATGGATTTGTTTCTACAACACTTGACATTTTAAGAACTTTTTTTACCTCATTGTATGTTGCTTATAAATTCTTCTGGTTTTCTTTTGGATACAGATCAGATCTTGCAAAAGGAGTTGGACGCGTTGACATACAGAGTTTTAGCGTATCTTCTTCTGGGTGTTGTTAGAATATACTCCAAGAAGGTTGACTTTTTGTTTGATGATTGCAACAAAGTGTTGATTGGTGTAAAGGAGTTTGTGGCTACGGAGAAGAACAGAGAAAAGACAACTGTGTCACTACCTGCATCTACATCTACTGAGTGTTTTTCCATTGCTTTGCCTGAGAGATTCGAACTAGATGCTTTTGATCTTGGGGTTCTAGAAGATTTTCACGGGTATGCTTGTTAATCCTTTTTAGAATGTATGTCGCAGAGATTCTTTACAATCTCACTTTTCTTTACTTTTTTTCTCAGGGGCAATGTTAAGCCGCAGGAAGATATTACACTTAAAGGTATTTTACTACTAAAATCTTCTGAAGTTAACCTCATCAGTCACTGTTCATATACTTATACAACTACACTCTGATGAAACAGAAGGAGGTTGGGAAACAGAGAGCATGGACCAGTACTCGATGGAAAGGGTATGGCTTCTCACCTGATAGACTACTGAGTGTGTAATTACTCGGTTTTACTACAACGTATATTGACGTTGTTGCTTGAATCTATTTCTCTTGTATCACTTGTTCTTATCCCTGTATTTTAGTGAAAGTATATGTAATGAAGATACTATTTTGTTGGAGTTGCAGTTCGACATGGAGGAGGACCTGTTTATGTCTCATGAAACTTTCTTTGCCGTTCACAAGAAAACCAAACAGTGAGTATTTTATATTTTTGGCTACGTTTACATGTAATCAACAGACACAAGCCCAACTTTCTGAAATTGTTGTTGCAGTGAGAATTCCGCTCATGATATGGACGTAGATGCAGAAAATTTCAGAGATACTACTAAAGAAACATCAGTCAGATTCGTTGAAGTGGAACCACTGAATTCTAATGAATATTCTAGAGATCATGAAAATGCATCTAGGCACAGGGAGGATCCAGAATATGATGGTATGCTTGTGGAACTGCAAATGTCTGAAGATATCAGAAGAGCTCAAGAAGAAGACACAGTTAGAGAAACCATATGCACCATTGTGCAGAGACTCGTGGATCATCATGGATTTACAGGAGATAACCAACACAAAGATGGGCACAGGGAGCACTCAGAATCAGAGAAAACCTCGGTGGAAACAAGTTTGGAAAAGATGCGGCATGACGGTTCCCGCCTATCTGAATGCGGTAGGCATGAAGTGAATGACGGGATTGAGGAACAAGCTTCTGGTGCCACAAGAACTGATGGGGAGCAGGAAAACTCGAAGATGAGTACTCAAGAAGAATCAGAACCAGCATCTGCGACTGATTCTAGAGATTTGCTAGAAGGCGTGGAGAAATGTCAAGGCCATAGTGAAGTGGAAATACCAGACATCGAGATGTTTCACGGGTCTCAGAAAGAGCAATCTGAGACTTTTGAAATGAATCAAGGTGACGAAGCTCCTGGTGCCACAAGAATTGATGGTGAGCAGGAGATCCCGAAGATGAGTACTCTAGAAGAATCAGAACCAGCATCTGCGACTGATTCTAGAGACTTGCTAGAAGGCGCTGAGAAATGTCGAGGCCATAGTGAAGTGGAAATGCCAGACATTGAGAAGTTTCACGGGTCTCATAAAGAGCAGTCTGAGACTTCTGAAATGCATCAAGGTGGATTTCAAAATGCTTCTGAGAAAGGTTTTCTCTCTGACATGTCTGTCTCAAAAGAGGGAAGTGGAGGGTTTAATACAACAGATACTCCAGTTGCGGTCACTCCAAAAGGACCTTCGCGGCTTAGAATTTCTGAAGGTGCACAATTTTTAGAAATAAGAGCTCTAGAAAATATACTTAGTTGTGTTTTTTAACTGTTAATCTATACTTTGAAATTCAGGGGAAACAAGCCCTCAGTTCTCGATCATTCCTACGCCGGCTGCCAAGGAATCTTCTCGAGTTTCACGGAAAAGAAAATGTCTGATAGATGATGATGTGATAATTCCGAACAAGTAAGAAAACTTTATGTAACCTGGATTAATTTTGTCGGCAGATTTCAGTATAAGTATGGTATATTTGTTACTTCTGTTATTGTAGAGTTATGAAGAAAATGATAGAGGACTCAAGTAATTTGATTTCAAAACGGAAAAACGTTCTTCATACTGACCATCCTGCGAAGAGAATCAAACGTTTGGCCAATCCCTCACAAAGTTTCTTGGACCCTTTGTTTCCTTGTAAGTAAAACTTCATAACTACCTGTATATATGATTGTATTGTTGAGTTTGCTAATTGTTATAATCCTGGCACAGATGAATCTATGCACCTCCGGTCACTTTTTTGTCAAACCATTAAGCTCAAGAGAAGGGACACCACAGGAACTCCTAGAGATGCTCAAACTGCTGGGCGAACTAGAAATTCTTCTCTTGGCACCGTCAGAATTCCTGTGGATGCTTTATCTTCAGATGAGACTGAGAATGCTCAAGAAATTATGGTGACTCCTCAGGCTGCTTCTCTTGCTGGACTGAAAGTGACAGTGGGAAACAGTAGCGAGGTTTCCGCTGCAATGGAAGCTAGTCACATAACTTCTGGAATTGCTCATCAAACAGAAATTGCCCCAGAGATACCAGTGAAGCCTGCAGATATTGCTCCAGAGACACCAGTGAGGAGATCAGAGCAAACAGAGATTGCTCCAGAAACACCAGTAGTCTCTGAGCAAGTAGAGATTGCTCCTGACACGCCGGTGAGGGAATCAATGTCGATAAGGTTTTTCAAGGACCCTGAGATCTGTGAGAAAGAAGCTAGACCTGCAAGTTCATTCACTTCCTTTGGTGAGTACCAATCAGAGTATCGCGCGGAGGATAGAGTTCTTGATGCGATTTTGATGAACGAGGAGGTACTGCTTAATACCATCATTCTGACAGTAGCAAAAGAAAGTTTTTTGGGATACTTTTAGCCTATCATTTTAATTACGAGACTGAAGATTTTTTTGTTGTTTCTTATTCAGCAGGTGAATGCACATGAAACAGAGGACTTGCAACAAGGTAAAGCACCTTATGTTCTTGTTTTAAGATTGGAAAGCACCCAAATTCTTGAAACCATTATTCAGAAATGATCTCTCATGCCAATGCATAGTTTTTTGTTGGTTAATTTACTGAGATCTATGAAGACAATGGAACAGTGGAGTGATGGGTTTTCAAAATATATATAGCTTTTATTGAAAAAAATTTCGACCATTAAAATATTCGGAATTTATATTCGGATCCAAAATCTTATCAAAGTGTTGTTTGTCGCATGTTGATCATCATGCTGTACTGCTGTGTTCTTACCATGTATGTTTTTGATTTGCAGAGACATGGTCAGCAAGAACAAGGTTGGTAGACTCACACCCTTCGATCTCAACTTCTTCACTTCGCTTATAAACAGATAGTTATTCGGATTTTCTCTGACTCTGGATTGTACAGGAATGTGGCAAAATTTTTGGAAGATAGGTTTCTAGAGCAGAGGGAAAAAGAAGAAGAAGAAAAGTTGAGTTTGTTGAAGCTGTGCAGAGGAAGGACTCAGAAAGAAGGTGCAAGACTCTTCTACGAGACTTTGGTATGTCCCTCTTTTTCCACAATCTCATGTGTGTCTAGGCCTTGGGCATTAGTCCGGTTTAGATTGTTCGGGTTATAAAACTACTCTTTGAATCGATTTGATATGGGTTTGTTCCAGGTATTGAAGACGAGAGGTTATTTGGAAGTTAAGCAAGATCATCCGTATAGTGATATTCTACTCACGCGATACACCAGACAACAAGAAGCTTGTTGAAAAGCTCTACTAATTTAGGCTCTTTTACGTTTTCTCAGAAGAAGTTTAGTGTTTTTAGAATCTCTAAGGAAAGAATTTAGCAACTTTGCTTCCTTGTTTTAAGTTAAATCATTAGTAAGAATGATCTGAGAAAGTATATGTACATACAGTTTTTGATCCTTTTCAAGTTTCTAGAGACAATGCAATTACATGCAGCTTCGTTTGTTTTTTTTTTCTTTTGCTTTGTCACTAACAAATTACATATGCCCATAAAAGCCCAACTTCCAATGTGGAACAAATTACATATGCTTACTATAGTTTAAAGCCCACATCTTTTACAAAGGTAATAAATGTGTCGGCGATCCCACTCAC